TGGCCAGGCATGGAGGCTCACGCCTGTAATCCCAGCACTTTGGGAGGCCAAAGCAGGCGGATCGCAAGGTCAGGAGTTCGAGACCAGCCTGGCCAATATGGTGAAACCCCGTCTCTACTAAAAATATAAAAATTAGCCAGGCATAGTGGCATGTGCCTGTAGTTCCAGCTAATTAGGAGGCTGAGGCAGAAGAATCGCTTGAACCTGGGAGGCAGAGGTTGCAGTGAGCTGAGATTGTGCCACTGCACTCCAGCCTGGGAGACAGAGCAAGACTCTTGTCTCAAAAAAAAAAAAAAAAAAAATCTGAATCTTTGAATGTTATCATATAGCTTTTTAAAAGACTAGATTAAGTTATGGATGTAAGCACCAATGTATTTTTTTTTAAGTATGTTGCATGAATGAGTTAAAGTCTAAGTGAATTCAGCAAGTTTGTAACCCTTGAGCTCTTGTGAGCTCCATCTGCCCTCAGTCATCTGAGAATGACCTAAACTGACTCAACCATTTTGTGTCATCCAGGTGAATAGAAAGGGCCTGAATATATTCTTCTTTATATTTTTTGTCATAAGTCCTAGAGTTTTCATCTGTTCAGTTTTTGAGTGTGCTTTTTAGGGCTTTAATGCTAAACTCAGTGCAAGCTGGGTTTATGTAATTTAGTAGTTTCTAGACTTAGGCTTCCTAAATGTTCCATTAGACAAGAAGACAAGATACAAAACAAAATAACATCAAACTACCATTAACCATTAGCATTGTTAGAGCCAGTAAAAGCTGTTTTGAAATAAAGCAGCTTTTCAGGCCAGTATTTGAGAATTAATGATAGAGTTTTTATGTAGGCAATTAATGAAGTGTTGTGGAACAAATGTGGGTTTGGATTTTCAAGACCAACCTGAACCGGAGTCTGGAATCTGCAACTTTCCTAGCTGTGGCTTCTTTTTAATTGATTAACTTTCTTTTACTGTAAAATGGGAATAATAATTTCTACCTCTTACAAGCCTTGTGGTAGGAGTATTCCAAATTAGATTACTATGTGAAATCACTCCAAAACTTCCAGAATACATGGAAATAATATATGTCTGTATTGGCAAATTATGAGTGTAGTAATGAGGGATTTACATGGACACATTTACGTTCTTTATTTTGGACTCCCTTTGACAACATATAACAAACACACACAAGAGTATTTGCCACGTCCAGCACTCTTTTGAGAATTTCTCTCTTCTTCTGATATTCCAACCAACCAACCAGTAGGAATGTGCCCTAGAAAGTATGTTTTACAGCTCAGTCCACATCCTTTTACTTTACAAATTACTTCTTCTTAGTTTCTTGGGAAAGTAAAATCAAGATATCAGGATTCTATGAAATTGGTTGGTGGTATTGAAGTCTGTGCTGCTGCTGCTGCTGCTGCTGCTGCTCCAGGACTCTAGTGGAGATATTACAAATGGGAGCAGAAAACGTGAGAAGGTGGTCTATAGAGACAGAGCAGAGCACAGGGGTAGAAAGACTGAGATAAAGAGACAATGCAGTGAGAGAGAGGAGAGAACACAGACATAGAAACAGAGACATAAAGGCACCCGACATAAGCACAGAAATAATTTAATAAAGTCATAGTTTATCTTGGATTTCCAGTTCCTTCTTTTAGTCGCTTCTGATATTTAGCACACTGCACTGCACCAGATATCCTGTCGCCTTCAAATAAAGTATTTTTCCCCCTTAAGCATGCTAATTTGGGATTCTGTTGTTTTCAATCAATAGAATTGAAAAAAACACTCTGTCATATCTGAACTACTGTATCAAAATGGCTTTCTGCCGTTGGTAACAGAGATCCAGCTCAATGGCTTCAACACACGAAGATTTATCCTGTTACATTTAAAAAGAAAAAAAGTGCAGAGTAGCAGTCCTGGGTTGGAATAGGGTCCACAAAGTCATCTGGGACCAGGCTTCATCTATGTTTCTCTTACATCACAAGTGACTTCTGTGTACAAACCCACCTCATGGTCCACAATTGATTGTTTTTACATCAGCTTTCCAAAGAGCAAAAAGAAAAACAAGTAGAAGAAGAGCTTGTACTTTTTTTTCTATTTGTATCACTTCTGCTTTCATCCCACTAGCCAGATATAGACATACGGCCCCATCTACCTGCACAGAAATCTCAGAAATGTAGTTTTTCAGCTTGGCCATTGCCCAGGGTTCTGTTACTAGGGAAGAAGGAGAGAATGATTACTGGGAAGTGAGTAGTGAGTAGCAAACTGTATCCTTTCAGATATATATATGTAGCCTCCATACTCTATCTGCAAAGTGTGTGTGTATATATATAATATCTATGCATGGGAGAAGTTTTATTCATTTACTGTATATAGCTCAAAGCACAAAATCCCTCGGCGTGCATTCCTTTCAATAGGGTTCAGCTGTGGTTTCTATAAGACCAAAAGACGCGTTATTACCTCCACTAGATGAAATATAAAATGATAGTGAAGGGAGTATGAAAACTATGTTTAAAAAAATACCTGTGTTGGGGTTGGGAGGAGGGAGAAAATCTATAGCTGTTACAATTTCCCAGCAATGATCCAGTTCCGCAGCAATGACCCAGTTCCCCAGCAATGATCCAGTTCTTCAGGTTGGAAACGGCACACCCATGAAAGGATTGTGGCAATGGGAAGGTTTCTTGCTGACCCAGCTGGCAGCCCACGGCTCTTGTCCCTGGGACAATTCCCCATGGCCATTGTCTCCCACGGCCTCTTATGCTGGTTGCCCCAGGTGGTTCTTCTTCCTCCATTGTCTTTAACAACCACATCTGACATCACATTGGAGAGTATTTGTTTCCTTGGGGTTACCTGCCTTTAGCAGTCCCCTTCCAGGTGGTACATGTTTAGGGGCCTGGAAACTTAAGGAATTTTATAGTCACAAGCTATTTCAGGACAGGCTTGGGGTTTCATCAGCTATAAAGTTCTCTCAAAAATTTAGTAGATTTCAATCCATGTGCTGTTAGTAAGTGTCTGTGCAAGTGACTGCAGTAAAATATCTTATTTTGTTTTAAACTTGAAGACTTATTTCACCAACTAGCTTCCATACTCTGTCCATCTGCAAGCCCTCAAAAGAAGGGCGGTTACCTTGAGAACAGTGATCTCTAGTGATAAGACAACAACCTAAATCCTACCTTGCCAGTGACCCACCACCTTAGTGTGGCCATCTCCTGCTAAGGATGTTACCAGCTAGCATGCTTTGGACTAAGGTACAAACGCAGTTGACTTCCAAACCAACAAAACTCAAAACTATTGAATGTAGATATAAATTGCAGGCTTCAGGCAGAGTAGGTCTACATGAATATCATGGCATTTCTTCTTATCTCTTCTACAGAGTGGCTGACTCCAGCCTGAAGGCATCTCTCACTTATAGAACAGGCAACATACACCAGCATGTTGAGTTTTGCCAGTTGTCAGTCCTAAAGCAACATGTCTCCTTTCAGGGAAAGTAGGAAATCAGATGTGTCACTTGTGATTCTGCTCAATGAGTTTCTTTCTTTTCCATTTTCTTGAAGCTCTAGACCTGCAGCTCCCAGCAGCCCACACTGTGTATTGAGTCAACTGGAAACCAGACAGAACTTTCTTCCTCCCCACTGGTCAACTTTTCATGGAGAGCATGCAATAAATTTTTAGAAGTAGGTTGAGGTAGAGCTGGTAGAAGAGGAGTAGATGCACTGGGAGTGAGTTATCTGCTAAGCCACTTACCCAAGGAGGGCTTCCAGCTCTCCTTAAACCTGTGAGGTGGTAATTGGCCTGCTTGGCTTCATGGCCCACACCTCTGCTGTCCAACTCAGCAGCCAGTAACTAGGCACATGTGGCCCCTAAGCACTTGAGCCTGACTTGTCTAAATTGAGATGTAATGGAGGTATAAAATACACATTATCCTTTAGACTCAGAACAAAAAATTATAAAATAGCTCAATAATTATAATTGATTATTTTCACTTGGGAGATTTGACGAAGCTGAGAATTCTACTTACATTGTAATCCAGCAACCCCCTGGATTCATCTCTTCCACTGATATTTGGCTGCTAGAGATGAGATTCCTTGAGGGTAGTCATTGAAATGCTATGGTTTATTACCATCACTTAAATAGAGAATTTATAGCTTTGTCCCTGACCTTGTTTTTAAAGCTCTTTAGTACAATTCCAAGCGGCCAACAGTTCTCTAACTTCCTCTGAATCATTCCAGTGCTGTGCTTCTCATGTCTTATGACCACTACTTGGTCCACCAAAACTTTGCCTTTAAGAAAAAGACTAATACAAAAACAAAACAATTCTGCTTTGCAGAAATAGTTATTGGTTATTATCCCATAGTAGAGAGTAAATGCTTGGGTAAGGAACACCAATAATGTGTCAAAATGAGCTAAGGTTTGGAAACAGGTTATTTGGAGAAATATTTACTTTTTTGACAAAAAGTTTCAAGATATTGTCATTCAATTTAAAATATGTAATAGGTATGGAAATTAGGGCAATCCTCTAAGCGACTCTGCAAGTTGTACAAGCTCTTAACTCTCTTTCCTATGAAACGAAGGGGTTGGACTAGATGATGACCAGGATTCCCTTCTGCTCTGTCTTTGAATTATGATATTTGGGTTAAATACTGCAGGGGTGTGTGTGTGCAAAATCCTCTTGAACAAATTCCCTAAACAGTTCAAAACTCATAAGGAGTTGCTCACATTTCGTTCCTGTCTTTTAAATCTTAATGTACACTAGAACACACCAGCTTTCTATTCTCAGTCATAACATAGCCATAAATAGAACAAATGCTAGAGGCTTATCACTCAGAGTCTCTGCTGGCAGTGACAGCTTTGTGGAAACAGAAAGGCATTAAAATACTAGTGAAAGGCAAATTCTTCATTGAGATTCTTGATCAGGTTCTAGAGCAACATTCCTAGGAACAACACGATACCTAACATCTTCCATGATTTTAGCGGATCCCATTATCTGAGATGATATCCATTTTGCTTTCTTTCTTTTCTTTCTCCCTATATGCATAGTCAAATGTCATTTTGAAAATCTAAGTCATCATCTGAGGGCGTGAAATTATAGCAGTCTCATTATCTTTTATTCAAAAGGGTAGAGGTTACTGTTGCTGTTGTTTTAATATGGAGAACTAGCAACTACAATGTTAGCTATGGGCGGGGCATGGTGGCTCACACCTGTAATCTCAGAAATTCGGGAGGCCACGGTGGACGGATGGCTCAAGCTTAGGAGTTCAATACCAGCCTGGGTAACATGAGGAGACCCCCCTCTCTACAAAAAATACAAAAATTAGCAGGGTGTGTTGGCACATTCCTAGAGTTCCAGCTACTCAGGAAGCTGAGATGGGAGGATGGTTTGACCCTGGGAAGTCAAGGCTACAGTAAGCCAAGATCACACCACTGCACTCCAGCCTGGGTAACAGAGCAAGACCCTTTCTCAAAAAAAACAACATTAGCTATAGTCAAATTCCACATTTCAATATGATTGGATTTCAATCTAACTTTGCCTTACAAAAGTTATCGAGTCATTTTGGATAGCTATTTCCTGGAGCATAAGTGTCTGCTTTTGAAAGGAAATAGAGGAAAAAACACAACTTTTCCTCTCTACTTATGTCCCACTCAAAACAACTGGGACTGGAATGAGTTTGTTTGAAGGCCATGCCTATATTCTTATCGGGCTGAATAAGCCAGGAAAAATATAAACCACAGCCAATGACCAGATTTTCTTTTCTTCATTCCTTATATAGGCAGGGAGTCATTATTAAAAGTAGCATAGCAACTAGGCTAAGGCCATTCTCTTAGATAAAACATCATCGGAAATGTAGAGCCAAGAAAAGGTAAAGTTTTTATTTTATTCATCATCAGAAAAATCACTTTGGTGGAACAGAACACTGAAAATCAGTGGTTCTAAGTGTGATCTGGTATCACAGTCTCTGGGGGGCCTTGTTAAAACACAGGCTTCTGGGTCTTAACTCCAGCATTTCTGATTTCTCAAGGTGGGGTGGGGCCCAAGAATTTTTATTTCTCACAAGTCTACAGGTGGTACTGATACTACTGGTTTGGGGAACCTCACTTTGAGAATAATTCCTTTAAGGTATCATCATAACAAAGAATGTGAGCGCTCTACTTGATCAGTTCAGTGTCTAAACCTGACATTTTTAGGAGGGCAAGAGGATAAATTTGCAATCAAACTCTAGATTACACCCATACTCTATCCACCTTCTAGCTCTCCTGCTTTTGGGGTTGGAGGGGAATGCCGACCAGGTTGAGATGCAAGAGATACTGTTTCAAGCAATTATAAATGAATGCAACTTGCTCATCACCCTTTTGGAGGAAATGGGCTTGAAATCAGATTCTCCTCAGCAATCATCATTGAAAAAGAGTCAGAAACTGCATGATTTTCTTCTAACTTCCACATTCACAGAAATCTTAGTTTTGCTTCTCTTCTCATTAGTTGTTTCTAAGAATCATCAGCAGAAACCCCTCAAGGAATCAGGTAGTGGCACTAATTAGATTGAGTCATAATACTACGATGAAGCCACACAGGGCAGTTTCTGGCCCAGAATAAAAGCATCTCTGAGTTATAAGAATATGACAGTGATTCAGTTGTCATTTCTGTGTGCCTACCATGTTCCTAGCATATAACATACTAATGCATCTTGCACAGGGCCTTGTTATATATCACGTTCTTAATAAAGGCTGAATGAATGGATGAATGAATGAATGAATGTAAAAAAATCAGTACTACAATGTCTTCTATGTGGTGTCACACCAGTCCAGTGAACTTGCTAAGTTGAAGTCTATACTTTAGCAATATTTACCTCAACTTCTGTGCTTTACATCAGCATCGCCATTTTGTGAGGAAGGTATAAATTGTGATGTCTGCTCTGCTCAAAGGAATGCTTCCAATGGCTACCTCCAATTCATTTAGTAAATTTCAGTCTTCTTGGTCACAGAGTGGGCAAGACCAATCAGAATATCCCATTTTCCTGCCCACAGTGATGGATCCAAGAGACAGTCAGATGACCCAAGGAGGGCCAGTAATAGTCTTCCCTGGGATATTTTACATTAAAATTTCTTCTTTCTTTTCTTTTCTTTTTTCTCTTTTTTTTTTTTTTTTTTTTTTTAAAGCAGGGTTTCACTCCCATCACCCAAGCTGGAGTGCAGTGGAACAAACTTGGCTCACTGCACCCTCCTAGGCTCAAGAGATTCTCTTGCCTCAGCCTCCTGAGTAGCTGGGACTACAGGCGCCTGCCACCACAGTCAGCTAATTTTTGTATTTTTAGTAGAGACAGGGTTTCACCGTGTTGACCAGGCTGGTCTTGAATTCCTGACCTCAAGTGATCCGCCTGCCTCAGCCTCCCAAAGTGCTGGGATTATAGGCATGAACTGCCGTGCCTGGCCTTACATTGAAATTTCAAAAGAGATATTGCTTTTTCTTTCTTGTCATATTGCTTTTAGGCTGTCACCTGGGCAGATGCCAACTGGGTAAATAGATACGTAAGTCAGGAGTTAAAAAGAGAGAGAAAGGTTGAGGCAAAAAGTAAAAATGTATGAGTATGCTGAGAGACTTAACCCTAAGCCTACTTGCTTCTTTTCCTGGGTTCACATTTAGATTAAAGTTTCCAGCCACCCTTGCAATTTAAATCTGGTCGTATGACCAAATTCTAGCCAGTATTATACGAACAAACATGATGGATGCCATTCTCTGGCCCGTAAAAATCTCTTGTGTCTGATCCTTTCACTTTTTGCTCACTTGTTACAATCAAATATGACAACCTTGAAAGCTATGAGTAGAAGACAGCAGAACTAAAAAATAGAAGGAGCCTACATCTCCTCATTGAGAGGGTTGTTCACTAATCAAGAACATTCAGTTTGGACTTCATATCAGCTGGAAATGAGTCTATCATGCTTAATCATTATATATTGAATTTGCTATATCAGGTAGCATTATTTTAACTAATAAAAGAATTAGGGTATAAATGCCATTTAAAGTATGAGGTTATATGACATCTCCTAGGGAGAGGAGTTAGATAGGGAAGAGAAATGGTATGAAGACTGAGCCCTGAGTCACTTCAACATTTAAAAATCAGGAAAAAGAAGGAAATTGGCAAAGGAGTCTGAGAAGGACTATCTAAGTGGGTGGGAGAAAATCAAGGGGACTGTGATGTTCTCATAATAACATGAAGAAAAATGTCAGAAAAGGAAGGGGTGATGTGCTATATTTAGTCCCTGAGATGCTTTGTTTCTGCACGTTTTTTCAATTTTATGAGCTGCTTCAGTATTCTTCCAATACATTTCCTGTTTCTTTAAAAAAGTAATTTGTGTTAGAGTTTTGTCAACCAAGAGTCCTTGACTGTGATAGGCACCCTCTAAGATGGCCCCCAGGGACTTCTGCCTACTGGTATTTACATCCTTAATAATCTCCTCCTGCCCTTTTGTATGGGCTGAACTGACCGACGTCTTATTCTAAAAAACTTACATTCAAATGATGAACATTAGCACAGAGACAAGACAATTTGGGAGATAGATTCTTTGAGAGCAATAAACTGTGCATGATAGAGTAATGAAGATGCTAGGGCTGCCAATCTGGATAGACTGGTTGACAACTGGGGGTTGTCGGGGGGCGGCTATAGGAGAACATGTTCCTGATGGATTTTTTAAAAAAACAGAAATATAAAGATCTTGGGAAATGAGGTATTCTTGGGAGGAACACATGCAAAACTTCTGAGGCAGGCATGAGCCTGGATTCTTTAAAAAACTGAAAGATGACCAATAGGTCTGGAGCACAGTGAGCAAGACAGAGAGCCATAGGATGAGGCTGAAGAGAAATTCAGGCCATACTCTGCAGGTCTTGTAAAGCATGGTTAAGAGTTTGGATTTGGTGTGAAAAGCATCTGGAGTCTATTGAAGAATTAAAGTACAGAAATGATATTTTGTTTTCCTCATGCTTAAAACACAATGAAATTGAATCAAATAAATAGTAATGTATTGAACAACTCCTAAACTGTTCAACAATTTAGGAGTTCAACAATAAACTTTTATTGAGAAACTTCTATGTTCCATGCATTCTTTCTTGTGTGACCACATTTACATTTCACCTAAAAACCATATTTTAGATACAAAATTTGAAGCTTCTAAAGGCAAGTTACTATGCCTAAAGATGCACAGCTAGCAGGTGGCAAGCTGTGAAATCAAACTTGTATTGGCTCTCTAAAGGGTGTGTTTAGAGAGACTGAGTGGAACTTTATGGTTGGTGAAGGGTTCATATGTAGCAGTAGAGAGAGAAATCGCTGAGGGTAGGTTGACTCCAAAGGTAGGCTGGAATCAGATTGAGGAAGGCTACTTTGAATATGAAGCTAAGGAGTTTGTACTAAATCTTGAGACAATAGGAATAAAGATTTTTGAGCAAAGAGTTGACATGATTGCAGTCCTGTTGGGAAGATTTATGAGGTGTTTGTTTACATCAGTGTGAATTACCAGGGAAGAGACCAAAGGAAGAAGGGCCTATCAAGAAACTGGCTTAGGTATATGATGATAGGGGTCTAAACTGAGTGGTGACAACAAAAATGGAAAGAAAGAGAGGAATGAGAGTAATTCCTCCAGGAAAGAGTCATTAGGGTTTGGTGACTACATTAATATACGCATGGGGAAGGTGAGGTTATGAAGAGTAAGTCTAAATAATTATAAGAATGGTGCTACAATATGGCTAGGCACAGTGGCTCATACCTGTAATCCCAGCACTTTGGGAGGCTGAGGTGGGTGGATCACGAGGTCAGGAGTTTGAGACCATCCTGGCCAACATGGTGAAACCCCATCTCTACTAATACAAAAATTAGCTGGGCGTGGTGGCGCGTGCCTGTAACCCAGCTACTCAGGAAGCTGAGGCAGGAGAATCCCTGGAACCCGGGAGGCAGAGATTGCAGTGAACCGAGATCACGCCATTGCACTCCAACCTGGCGACAGAGCAATACTCTAAGAAAAAAAAAAAAAAAGATGCTACAATAGGAAAGTCAGCAGAAGGACCAAGTTTGAGTGAAGTGAGTAAGAAGAAAGAAGATAAATATCAATCATATAAGTTGGATAAGTTGGATTCGAGGTAACAACATTGAAAGTAAATGTGTAGCTAGAGAGCAGAAGGGACCTTGGCCAAAAATAATGATTTGGGGTTCATCTCCATAGAGGCAATGGGCAATTAAAATTGTGAGAGTTGGCTGGGCACCACGGCTCATGCCTGGAATCCCACCACTTTGGGAAACTGAGGCAGGAGAATCACTTAAGCCCAGAAGTTCAAGACCAGACTG